GAAACCACACGCACTGAATACATTACTCCTATGAATAACACAAACATCACTACAACAGACATCATTCAAACTATTAATCACTTACATAACTGGAAAAGTCCAGGCATTGATAACATTCACAACTTTTGGTGGAAATATTTTACCTACACTCACTCTTACCTTGCGCAACAATTTACTGAACTTCTTAATTCACCAGATCGCACTCCTGCATTCTTTACACAAGGTATCACTTACATGCTCCCAAAAGACAACAATACACAAGACCCATCTAAATATAGACCAATTACATGCCTTCCTACAATATACAAAATCCTTACATCATGCATTACCAACAAAATATACCAACACTGTACTGATAACAACATTTTATACGAAGAACAAAAAGGGTGTACCAAGTATTCCAGAGGCTGTAAGGAGCAACTCATTATAGACTCTGTTATACTTGAACAATCCAGACATAACAAACGAAACATACACACTGCATACATTGATTACAAAAAAGCATTCGATTCAGTACCACACTCTTGGTTACAACAAGTACTCTCAATATACAAAGTCAGCAACAATATTACACAATTCCTCAATTACATAATGTCATGTTGGAACACTACGTTAACACTTACACTAAACGACACAAAACTTATTACTGACCCAATACAAATTAAAAGAGGAATTTTTCAAGGCGATTCTTTAAGTCCGCTCTGGTTTTGTCTTGCTCTTAATCCACTTTCATATTTGTTAAACACTACTAACTTTGGGTACAATATTAAACACAACCACGAAATACATCACAACATTACACACCTGTTTTACATGGACGATCTTAAATTATACTCTTCCACAAGCATAAAACTTAATCACCTTCTACACATTACCGAAACATTCTCACGTGACATACAAATGGACTTTGGAATCGATAAATGTAAAACACAACACATCACAGCTGGAAAAAGACAACTTTTAGATTATGAGCTAGAACAGGGTAATTTAATAAATTCCATGGACGAGAATGAAACTTATAAGTATCTTGGTTTTCAGCAAAATACACATATTAAACATACGAGTATAAAACAAACACTTATCACACAATACCTACAAAGAGTACGCAGTATACTTAAAACAAAATTACACGGTAGAAATACAATCAAAGCTATTAACACTTATGCCATACCAGTGCTTACATACTCTTTCGGGATTATACGTTGGACAAATACAGATTTAGAACAAATACAGAGAAACACACGTACACTATTAACAAAACACCATATACATCACCCTCACTCCTCCACTATACGACTTTACCTTCCTCGTTCGGAAGGAGGTAGAGGACTTACAGATATAAAACTATTACACCAAACACAAATACACAATTTACGACAATACTTTTATAACAAATCAGATACTTCAGTCTTACACAAAACAGTAACATATGCAGACAAATCTTACACACCACTTAACCTACACGAAACTAATGTACTCCCACCCACATCCAAACTTACATACATCACAAATAACATACAGACATGGAACCAAAAGCCTTTACATGGACGATTTCCACAAGAGGTTAGCCAGGATTGTGTTGACTCTATAGCAACGCACACTTGGTTGTCTGAATGTGATGTCTTCCCGGAGACTGAGGGTTTCATGTTAGCAATACAAGACCAGGTCATTAACACACGCAACTATAAAAAACACATACATAAAGATAAAACAGTGACAAATGATTCTTGTCGACTTTGTTCACAAACATCAGAAACAATCCAACATATAATATCGGCATGCACACGACTTGCACAAACTGAATACAAACATCGACATGATCAGGTAGCTAAAATCATACATCAAAAATTAGCACTTAAACACAATCTCATAACAGATACGACACCATACTACAAATACACGCCACAGATCATACTCGAAAACAACACACACAAATTATATTGGGACAGGACACTACTCACAGACAAAACTATCCACAATAATAGACCAGACATTACACTTATAGATAAAGCACAAAAATCCATTTGTATTATAGACATTGCCATCCCCAACACTAACAACTTAACTAAAACACATGCAGAAAAACACCGCAAATACACCGATATAGCTATCGAGCTTAAGACGCAATGGAGAATGAAATCTACTGTTATAGTTCCCATTATTCTTAGTGCTACTGGAGTTATACCAAAGACAATACACCACAATTTACAACTATTAGGTTTAGACAAAAACACATACAAACATTTACAAAAAGCAGTCATTATCAACACATGCCATATTGTTCGTAAATTTCTAAACATAACACAAGATACTACATACAGAAATGATCCACAACGTATACATGTAAACAACAGCACTCGCTCACAACACGGTACACAACATACTGTAATATCTCCACCTCTAACCCAAACAAACACACAAATACAACTTACCGAACAAACAAGTACAACAAATGATACAACATATACTACAATCAGAGATTCACCTCTGAAGCAAACCACATTATCACAACCCATTAGTATTCAACCCAAACGCAAAAGCCTAAACAGCACTTTAGACTCACAACATGACACACAACATACTGTAATATTTCCAAACTTAACTCAACCAACCACACAAACACAACTTCCTGAACAAACAAACGCAATAAATACAAGTAACGCAACACGCACTACAAAGACGCCCTCACCCACACGGCCTAGCACAGCTAAAAAACACAATACTCTTTCTTCTCAGAAACACACCACGTTATCACAAACACAACCCACTCGTACTCAACCCAAACGCAACAACCTTAACAGCACTACAGGCTCACAAAATACTGTAATGTCTCCACCAATAACCCATGCAACAACAGAAATACAACTTCAAGAACAAAGAAACACCATAAATACAAGTAACGCAACATGCACTACAAAGACAGGTCCATCCAATAAAGTTACACGCCCTAGCACATTAAAAAACACATAACTCCTTCTTCACCGAAGCACACCACGTTATCACAACCCACTCGTATTCAACCCAAACGCAAAAACCTATACAGCACTACTAGCTCACAAAATACTGTAATATCTCCATCAATAACCCAAGCAACCTCACAAATACAACCTCAAGAACAAAGAAACACCATAAACACAAGTAACGCAACATGTACTACAAAGACAGGTCCATCCAATAAAGTTACACGCCCTAGCACAGTTAAAAAACACAATACTCCTTCTTCTCAGAAACAACCCACTCGTATACAACCGAAGCGCAAAAACCTTAACAGCACCACAGGCTCACAAAATACTGCAATATCTCCACCAAAAACCCAAGCAACCTCACAAATACGACCTCAGGAACAAAGAAACACCATAAATACAATTAAAAAACACAAAACTCCTTCTTCACAGAAACACACCACGTTATCACAACCCACTCGTATTCAACCCAAACGCAAAGCCAAAGAAACACTTACACAATAAACTCCATTTATTAAAATTACAGGAATTATTATAGTGATTTTTTTTGTTTGTTTTGTTTTCCTCTTTCCTGATAGCGTTGGCTATTGTGCCCATCAATAGGTATGTTGGTAAGTACGAATTACATAGTATCCCTAGATGTCCAATGTACGTGTGTGATTTTTTTTTTATTTTATTTTTTTTTTTTTTTAAGGACCCTACATAACTTCACCAGACACAGACACAGACACTAATCGTTACTTGATTTTTAATCCGTGCGATTAGTTAACCAGGCTAGACCTGAGTTCTCACAAGAAACACCGACCATAATAATAATAATATATATTACGTGCTTTGCAAAACAAAATAATACTTGCACTAGTCAAAAACAACAAACATCAATACATTGAAGATAACTACATCTAATTATTAATTAAATTAAGGTAGGTATAGTAATCTTAAGGAATTCCTCAACAGAGTAGAAAGCCTTTTCCTTAAGGAATTTCTTAACCTTCAGTTTAAAATTCGGAAATGCTAATTCTTTAACATCATTTGGCAGGTGATTGAAACATTTTAAGCTAATAATTTCTGTTCCGTCCTGAGACTTGGTAAGTCTACGGAACGGCACCGGTAACAACATCCTACCTCTAGTTGTATAATTATGTGGAATTTCTTGCTGAAATCTATTAATATTTTGTTTTATATAACATACACACACTAAGATAAACACACATGGAAAAGTAAGTATTTCTAATTTAACAAAACATGGACGACAGTCTTCACGATATCCTAAATTAGTGATTACTCTAATAGCACGACGTTGTAATTTGAAAATGTATTTAGCATGTGAAGAATTGCCCCACACCAAAACAGCGTAAGACATCACGCTATGAAATAGTGCATAGGAATTACGTAAAACAAACTGGGATACATTTTTTTGTAAGCGACGTAAAGCAAAAAGGTTTCTATTGAGTTTAGCAGAGATATTATTAACATGCGACCGGAATGACAATTTTTCGTCGAGATATACACCTAGAAATTTTACATATTCTGGATTCACAATGTCGTGGTGTTTTAAAGTTAGTAACAATGATTCCGTTTTAGTAGGGTTTATACATAACTTATTCAGAGCACACCAATCGTTTATGGAATCTAGACTACACTTGGATTCAAGTAGCAGGTTTTGAACATTGTTACTTTCCATTATCAACGTAGCATCGTCAGCATATAATAAACAACATGCATTAGGAGGAATGCTATTTGGCAGATCATTTATGTATATAATGAAAAGAAGTGGTCCAAGAATGCTTCCTTGAGGTACTCCTCTAACTAAAGGGAGACATTTGGAGTTACTGCCGTTGATACGAACACATTGATGTCTATTGCTTAGGTAGCATTTTATTAACGAAACGCTGTTCGTGTCAAACCTATAGAGATCCAATTTTCGAATAAGTGAATCATGGCATACACAATCAAACGCGCGAGTTAAATCGATAAAACTAGCATTCATGAAATGACCATTCTCAAAAGAAGATAGTGCTTTAGTTACCAAATATAATATGGCGTCAGTAGTACCCATTTTAGTTCTAAATCCATACTGATTAGTGTGAAATAAACCATGACTCTCAAAGTAGTTTGTAATTCGTTTGTACATAACTTTTTCGAACAGCTTCGAAAAAACAGGTAAAATTGAAATTGATAAATGATATTTAGGTAAACATGAATACTATGCGATCAAAATGAGTTGCTGTCAAGTCGCCTTTGACATTTTTGTTTACATGGAAAATCGTATTTAACTTGAACTTCCAAAGGCGACTCGACAGCAACTCATTTTTGATCGCCCGTTACCTAAAAACTTGGGACTAATAAAAGTAAATAGTACAAATCATTTCACATTAAATACATTTTATAAACTCTAACGCAGGTCACTGCTGTGTTATCATCAACCAAAAGTGGGCTTATCTAATCTTCGTTAAGTAAATTGACAGTTCGCAACTCGTCGTCTACGAAATACGGCAATGGATGATCATTCACATTACAAACAAAAAAGTGCCAACCCCCGAGAAAATGCAAATCCAGTTTCTATTTTTACCTTATTGTAAGTCACACTTCCTCGAAATTAGCAGAACTATATACCATTATATGCTATCTTTTCCAGTTATATAATACCAACATTCTTCTACGGTTATCGAAAAACTATTAACGAAGACGACATTTACGAAACTCTTCCGGCACATAAGTCGTGTAACTTGGGAACTAATGCCATTGAATCGTGGAATGAGGAAGTCTGTCGCGCTACGAAACTCAAGGTCACTCCTTCTCTGCGGAAAGTCATCATCAAACTGCTATTTCGCGAATATCTCGTATGTTCCTGCTACGCAGTTGTCTGCGAGCTAATCGCCAAGTAACTCGCTTAGGGTAGTGAACATTTTTCGATATCTAATCCCCTCCCCTTTCAGACCATTACAAGCTTATTTTCTGGGAGAGCTGATTCTATCATACTCGGATAAAGCCGAACAAAAGGAAAAACCTTACGTATATGCGTTGGGAATTGTTGTATGTATATTTACTTTTTCATTCCTGGTACATCCCTTACTGCTGGAATCGTACCATATATCGCTGAAAGTGCGAGTAATATGCAGCAGCCTTATCTATCGGAAAGTACTAAGGCTAAGCAAGCGCGCCTTAGAACAAACCACGGCAGGACAGATACTCAATTTAATTTCCAATGATGTTAATGTTTTTGATAAGATTGTTTTTACCTCACAGTATTTGTGGATTGCACCGATACAGACCATTATAGTGTTAACATTGATGTACAAAGAAATTGGAGTATCCTCGTTTCCTGGAGTCTTCTTGCTGATCTGTTTTATACCCCTATATAGTAAGTACTCAAATGGATCGAATTGTATTATTTACACTGCAATATGCCATCAATCGTGTACTAATGTACACTTTACTTCGGTTTAATGCAGCTGGTAAGCATGAACAGTAACCATGGGAAACCCCCAAAAGAGCATAAAGAAAAAGACCAAAAAGTTACTGAAGCCAAATTCTTTTTTCTTTTGTTAATACTCTTTTAAACAAAACAATTTAGCACTGATACATTTAATTAAGAACATTCTAGCCTCTAGCGTAGTAATATTTCTCATTTTTACAGTTGCTTTGGGAAGAATGACGACCAAATATCGTTTAAAATCTTCCGTAGAGAGAGACCATCGATTACGTTTTATGAATGAAGCCATACAAGGAATTAATGTGATCAAGATGTACGCTTGGGAAGGTGCTTTTTCGAAAATTGTAATAGGCATTCGAAAGTTGGAAATTTATTTTATCAAATTAGGTCTTTATATTAGAACCGTATACCTAGCATACGGTTTGTTCACCACAATTGCCATATTTGCAAGCATTACGTCGGTGGTGCTGCTAGATCAAAGCTTAGATGCCAAAACAGTATTTATGACAATGTCGCTACTATATTTGTCTAGTGGAACGTTAAATTTTATATTACCACAAGGACTGATATTTTTAAGTGAAATTGTCGTCTCAATAAATCGTATAACACAGTTTTTGTTGTGCGATGAAACGACCACAGTCGCCATTTCGCCACGGACTGATCTAGCTATAAGTATTAGGAACGGTTCTTCCGCACAAAGCATTCTATCGAATCTGAACCTTGAAATTAAATCAGGTGGATTAACTGCCATAATTGGTTCAGTCGGAAGTGGAAAGACAAGCTTATTGAACCTAATTCTGGGAGAAATTCCGTTGTCAACTGGAGAGATACAACTGACCGGTAATGTTAGTTTCGCACCACAAGAACCTTGGATCTTTTCAGCGACAATACGTCAAAATGTTTTGTTTGGAGCGGAATGGTGTGAAACTCGTTATAAGGACGTTATCCGATGTTGCGCTTTAGAAAGAGATCTCAAGCTATTCCCTTATGGGGACCAAACTATAGTAGGAGAAAAAGGCACATCTTTAAGTGGGGGCCAAAAAGCTCGAATAAGTTTGGCTCGAACTGTGTATCGAGACACAGACGTTTATTTGCTTGACGACCCTCTTTCGGCAGTCGACGCCCAAGTTGGTCAGCACATCTTTGGGAAGTGCATCAAAACGTTTTTAAAAGGAAAGACAATCGTGTTAGTTACCCATCAGTTGCACTACCTAAAACGCGTTGAAGATATCGTGGTTTTAGACAAAGGTCAAATAATTGCGAAGGGGACGCGAAGTATGCTAGAGAAGTCAGGTTTTGACTTTTCTCAGTATTTACAACAAAATACAGAGGGTGATGGAGAGTATTTCAAAAGCGAAGACTTCCACGCTACTATCATTCAAAAAACAGCAATGAAAACTGGATCCACTGCTGGACAAACCACTGGTACGAAATTTATTTCAGCGGAGACGTACAGGGATTACTTCTGTGCCTCTAAAAGTCACACAGTTCTAATAATGGCAGTTCTCTCCTTTATATTAACTCAATTCACGATCAGCGGCTCTAACTACTTTTTAGCGTATTGGTACGTACAGCATTACTGTTTTGTTATCACAATTTTCATTGTAGGGTAAATATGGAAAACGAGAATTCGAAAAATAAAGACACGCGTCTCGTTTACATCTGCACGTATGCCACCATTGTCATGGCTTGTTTGCTATGTACGATAGCACGATCTGTCTACTTCGTCAAACTGGTAACGACATCATCAAAGGTGCTTCATAATAAAATGTTTGCAAATGTAGTAAACGCAACCATTAGATTCTTCGGCACAAATTCGTCAGGGATAATCCTAAATCGGTTTGCAAAGGATTTGGGAACTATTGATGAACTTTTGCCTAACGCTATACTGGTCGCAGCTCGTACAACTTTAAGTATTTTAGGGGTCTTTTGTGTCATCTGCTTTGTCAACCCCTTGTTTCTAATACCGACGCTAGTAATGGTGGTGATCCTATTTTACATAAGATCGTTTTACTTAACTACCAATTTAAACATTTTAAGAGTTGAAGGACGAGGTATGTGTATATTTACTAACCAACTGACTCTATTTTTTTAATCTTAGTGCGAGGTCCCCTCTATGGTCATGTAAATGCTTCTTTGCAGGGTTTGTCTACTATAAGAGCGTTTAAAAATCAAGAAACACTAACGAACGAGTTTTACCACCACCAAGATACGCACAGTGCTGCGCTGGAAATGGCTTTGGTGACTTCAAGAGCGTTTGCATACTGGTTAGACCTGCTGTGTGCTTTATACATTACCTTACTTACAACGTATTACATCTTTTATACAGGTAATTTCTCGTGAAAATCCGTTAAAAACTGTAAAACAATATTCAAGATGCACATAACGGAAATGTTGGACTGATCATATCGCAGGCGCTGCAATTAATGGCACAATTGCCTTGGGGGGTGCGGCAAATCACGGACGTAGAAAACTTTATGGTATGTGTAGAACGCGTATTAGAATACGATACTATTGAGAAAGAACAAAGGGAAGATACAGAAGGCAAGGAATTTCCATCTTCTTGGCCCACCTTTGGAAAAATAGAGCTTAAAGGGGTGTATTTGAAATATTCACACGACGATCCCTACGCATTAAAAAACTTAAGTTTCGTTATTCGTCCATTGGAAAAAGTTGGAATTGTTGGAAGAACTGGGGCCGGTAAATCGTCCATAATAGCTGCTTTGTTTCAACTTGTTGAAACAGAGGGTTCTATTCTAATCGATGAATTCGATATTAAAAACCTTAAACTGCACGATTTGAGAACAAAAATGTCGATAATTCCCCAGGAACCCGTCTTGTTTTCGGGAACAGTTAGATACAACATAGATCCGTTTAATGAGTATGATGATAGAACAATTTGGAAGGCACTAGAAGAAGTAAGATTAAAAGAACTTGTCGCCGGTTTATCCGCAGGTATACCACCTAGAATATTTGCCCACCTAATTATAATAATTTAAGGCTTACACTTTGAAATATCCCCAGACACAGCGAACTTTAGCGTAGGGCAAAGGCAGCTTATCTGTTTGGCTCGTGCAATAGTTAGAAACAACAAAATACTACTTTTGGATGAGGCAACTGCTAATGTCGACCTAAAAACTGACGAAATTATTCAGGAGACCATAAGAACAAAATTCTCATGTTGTACAGTGATTACAATAGCTCATAGACTAAACACAGTAATAGATTCGGATAAAATATTGGTACTAGATTCTGGGGTAGCAGTTGAGTTTGATCATCCGTATGTATTACTTCAAAATAAAGATGGTGCATTTTATAATTTGGTGCAACAGACGGAGAAAGTAATGGCCGACGCCTTGTTTGATCTTGCGAGAAAGGTACAAAATGCTGCTCTTAGATTTGAAAGTGTCTAATCTATATTATACTTGCAGAACTACTCAAAGAGCCCTATTAATTCGAATGGAGAAGGATGACATGTTTCACTAATGTAATGAGGTTGAATGTGAATTGAAAAATATAAACTGCTGATAAACCTATGATTCAGTTTGAACTTCTAAGGGAAAACCAGAGGGCATCAACAACAATCTTAAAATTTCCTTAATAGTTTCTATTTTCTGTGTTATTGAAAACAAGTTAGTGAACCATTTCAGATTCCGAGAAAAGGAAAATCGCAATTATAATTTACACAGGGTGTAGCATATAAGTATGTTACGTTCACTTTGAGCAAACGTAACAAAATTACAGTTAGATAAGCACACGGTAAAATCAGGAAAATAGAGGTGGGTCGAGGTAAATAATGGGGTTCTCGTACACTAGTCAAAACCTTTGGCAAAACGAAGCAAAAAAGAAATATAGTGATAGTGATAGTAAACCGAATAGGCGCCACTTAGTCTTTAATAAATTTCAAAAGAGAATACTTACTGAAAGGAGCAACAAGGCACACTAAGAGATCCTTGTTCTGGTCTTGATAAGCTGAAGAAATAAAATAATTAACAGGGGTAGAACATAAACAAAAATTGTTGTCACAATCGATGGATAAATGATAATGGTATTCCAAATAGCGGAATATATAGGGATCATTGTTTTGAGAAGGGAGCTTTTCTGCCTTATCTGTAACAGATAGAACAAAAACAAGCAAACAAACAAAAGGAATAGTGCATAGCGCGCCATAAAATATTGCGTTCGAAACTCGAATCGTCCGTACGGTGTATATACTGATGTATCAAAACCTATTTATGGTATTATACTGTATGTTTTTCTTGATCATACTCCATGGCTACTTAGACTAAAAACTCGTGAAAACAGAATCTTTATAATTAACTTTTTCACGTTCAAGAAGAGGTAGAATAATCATTTCACATGATTTAGATGCAGAATTTATATCTCTATAACTTTTATTTGAAGTATTTTTGCGTAAAATAATACGTTTGCGCAAAGAAAAAGTAATTTCCCATATGAAACGCCTATGTTCGACTTTTCGATTTACACCCTGTACATCGTCTACGCTATTGTTATGCAACATTAAACCCAAGTGCACGTAATGTGTGTTGCCTATCCGTACTACGCGTTTTCACAATATCTTTTCTAATCTTTTCTCAATATAATACTGATGAGTGATGACCTATATTTACTTTCCTTTTTTGCTATCAATCTCTGCCCGTAATCCATTGCGGCGCCCGATAATTTATCACAACAATCCACTTAAATTTAAAACATAACACACGTGCATTCGCTTTCATATCAAGTAAAAAGTTCAGTTTTATTATTTTTCCAGGCTTCAAATAATTGTAGTTATGCGAACTCCAATTTTCATCACATCCACCCCTCTGTTGCATTAATTAATCGCCTCTTGCGACATGCAATGTCGATGCATTAGGGATATTCTCAATCCCGGTCCTATACGGGTAAGAAGAAATATTTCGTTTCATGTAATTAATACACTCCATTAATATACTCGTATGACCAATCAGCTTGGTTTTTGTTTCAAATTCTAACCAATCAGATGATTTTTTATATGCTTAAAAGCTAGGTAGCTTTTTATCAGCGATAAAAATGCGCGTAGGAATGCGTATGCCTCTTAAAACGTCAAATCCGACAAACGTCATACCCTCACACAAGGTTGCCGGTTCACTTCTACATGATTGATTGTAGGTTTGTGACGTATTTAGACTGAAGAGTTTCAAATTCGGATTAAAAACACAGCTTTTCAATCATTTATTTTGGGTGTATTTTACTCGCAAATAAAAATTGAGGACGCGTGGGTCTTTTTATTTTTAATGTACTTTGTAGATAAGAAATAAAAAATGAAGCCGGGATGCCCCCTTTGCTAAAAGGCAACCGATTTGAATTGCAACAACACAAATTTACTCGGTTTAAATACAAACCTCGAGTGTAATTCGGCAGGACAATTTAACGAACAAGAAACCACCAAATCAATCAATTATTGACAAATGTCAAACTAATCATATGGAAACGGATAATGCGATAATTGGTTCGAAAATGAATAAGTGAAAAACCACTAGTGCATTTGTCGCTGAAAAAGTTGCAGGTAACTTTTGCCGCTGTCAAGGTGACAATTGCACTGCGGCTTATGTGATTTATTATCACCATATAGTACATGAACTGCTATTAGCCCTATGCTTTCAATACAAAATTGTTGGTCACGGATAGAGGGCACTGTAGTCGTGGGTATGTTAAAGTCACTAAATATAGAAAGTACCGCAATCCATTGGGCTCGTGTGTTAGAGAGAGAACGCATGATTTTTGCCCAAAAATGGCGGAAGTTACCAGATTCTAGTAACTTTAATGGTAGGGATTGTTCCACCTGTTTGGAGATATCTTTATATATTTTTATAAAACATGACAGTACTTTGAAGTTAGGTTATAAAAAATGACAGCTATTCAGATTTTATTTGTCAATTTTTGTAAGTTGGCAGCAAATTTGCCCAAAAATGGCGGATGATTGCGGTACTTTCTATATCTAGTGACTTTAGGGTATGTTAAAGTCACTAAATATAGAAAGTACCGCAATCCATTGGGCTCGTGTGTTAGAGAGAGAACGCATGATTTTTGCTTGGAGATATCTGTATATATTTTTATAAAACATGACAGTACTATGAAGTTAGGTTATAAAAAATGACAGCTATTCAGATTTTATTTGTCAATTTTTTTAAGTTGGCAGCAAATTTGCCCAAAAATGGCGGATGGTTGCGGTACTTTCTATATCTAGTGACTTTAGGGTATGTGAATTTCATGATAAACTAAAGTCGTATGAACACCACTCGGATCGCGAAAAGAGTAGCTTTTGTGGTAACCGCGTAGTATGGGAAGCTTTAAATCTCTTGATTATCTTCTATACGTCCGCAAATAAGAATGTTTGCTTTTTTGCCATATCTGGGCACTTAATTAATTGACGTTTGTTAATTTATAGGTTAACAGCCACAAATCGTGTCGCATCGGACAATTTCGGACAGACTCGTTTACCCTGAAACGCACATACCCAGGTAATGTCCTTGAACATATTTTAGTTACAATTAGCAGTCCATGTACTATATATAGTCTAAGCTTTTCTTTATACATGAGTTGAATTGTCCGATTAAAAATCAAGCTCTTGTGTATTCACCCCCGAATAATCGCTTACATACTTGCGATCACGACACGATACACTTACACACGGTATGCTCATTATTTTTCTCAAACGCGTTTTCTACTGCGCATTACGTCACCTGCGAACGTGTGGCGCCAAAATTCAAATGTTTATTCACGATCCAGTACACATGTCACGCGTGACAGTTTGCAACTGATCAGTTGTATCTACGAGCTTTAGCGTTAATTTGTTGATATAACTAATCGTTAGTGAAAATTCCAAAATGCCAGGTTGTGTAGTGGTTCAATGGAGCAATTCTAATAGAAAATCAAAAGGAACGGAAATATAATACTTTCGATTTCCAGACATTGAAGAATTTTCTCGAAAATGGATTGTTGCATGTCGTTGTAATGATAAAATTAACTTGAAAAATGGTGTATTTTAGTATTTACATTGCTGTTTAATTTTATAGTCTGTATTTGTTCTGTCCATTTTGAATCCAGCCGTTTTGAAGCACCGCTATGGGAACGACTTCTTAATTACACTTTTAAAAATAGCGGACATTTGAAACCTGATCCTGTACCTACTTTAAAACCACCACGTAATAATGAAAATCAAAATAACAGGAAAACGGAGGAGAGATTAGATCTTTTGATAACGCATTAATTACATAATATTTACTTAAAAAGCCGCACTTCATGTTTAGAGCCTATATTTTTGGTTAGAGTTTATTTCATACGATCGCTAAATCCCAGAAATACCCGACGCGACGATCTCTACACATATCAGTGTGATTTGTCTATCTAAGAAGCGTAATTTTGCTCTATATTCTGTGGTTTTGTTCGCACGTGACGTCACACTAGATGCGCAAGAGCATACCGTTGTAAGTGTATCGTGCTTGCGATTAATAGCGTTTGGTCTGAGATACTTGAATTTTATTGGAAATTAGTTTACGCGCGTTTTTGAACTTTGGGTTCCTCTAAACAAAATGCCTGTAATCAGACTTGGATTGAAATTTGCGCAAACATTTAGCACTTTAATGACAAATAAACAAATAACTCTGTCTGTGCTGATGGCGCGAAATTAAATTTGCCTTTTTATTGAATTGTTAATTAAGTAACCCTTTATCTTTTCTAGGCTGCATTGTGGGACGAAGCACTTATCACTCTGTAATCTCCGTTATCTAACGCAATAGCGTCGACAACGTTTCCACTGAAAAAATGGAGGATAATTCTAGGTATCGGCCTCAAAACCGCAACCCAAGGGAAAATGCTACTCTGCTATCTGTTTGGACTTACTTGTAAGTAGTATTTAATTCGAGATGTTAATTAATTATCTTACAATTTTAGCTTTACTTTACCTACATTTTTGCTGGGGTATCGTAAGGGAATTACTGAGGATGACATTTACGAAACCCTTCATGATCAGAAATCAAGTACTTTGGGTGTCTCTGCCATAAAATTATGGGAAGATGAAATTAGAAATGCGTCAGGAAATAAACGACAACCATCGTTAAGAAAGCTATTGGTCAAAATGCTACTCAGAGAATATCTGCTGTGTACTGCAATTACAGCTACTGCCGATGTGATCATAAGGTAGCAATAAATATACACGTCTTTAGTCATATATGATATTTTGGTTTTAGACCATTGCAAGCTTTCTTTCTTGGCGAATTAATATCATGTAGCACCTTGGGACTCGAGCAAGACTGGACTCCGTATTTATATGCCTTGGCTGTTATTATGACGGTATTCCTGCACTGTTTTCTAGCACAACCTGCTGTAATGGGATCCTACGTGACCGCATTGAAAATACGGGTCATATGCAGCAGTCTTATATACAGAAAATTATTAAGACTTAGCAACGGTGCCCTAAATCGAACTACACCTGGAAAAATTCTTAATTTAATATCAAATGATGTCAGCGTGTTTGAAAAAATGGTATTTGCATCGCAGTTCTTATGGATCACCCCCATTCAAACTGCCGTGATCATAGGCTTATTGTACAGGGAAATTGGCATTTCTTCGGTTTTTGGTGTAGCAACTTTACTACTTTTTCTACCAATGTATTGTAAGTTTTCCTTTTGATGGTGTTTGCTAGTTTAGAAAACATTACTTGCTTATTTCAAAGCTGTATGGAGCTCAACATAATATTTAAACTACCGACGCGACGGTCGAGGGCGTTTGATACTCGGGCAGCTCATACCTAAACAGATGTACCCACACAAACACATACACAGGACGATTCGTACCCTGAACGATTTTACTCACAATTATTCGCATCCAAGTCACACCGAAGAGACAAGTAGTTTACTTGGAAAACGTATTCTAATATAATGTGAAGCATGATGGATACCTACTTTCGTAAACGTTACCTACTGTTTCTGTTTGAGTAATTAAATGTTCTTAGTTTTGTGAATTGTGTACTCTGGGTCAATTATTTAGGGGCTTAACGTCTGGGCGTGAAATGACTAATGCTTCCCATAAACACTCAGTTGAACTAGCCCTATATCATCAGTTCTAGCAAGCGCCGCAACTGTCAAGTGAACTGCCTTCACCCTACACATGATTCAAAAAACATCACTATACGCGTCAAATCATTTCTTTTTGTTAATGTACAATTTTCAGTGGGAAGTTTTAGTCGCAATCGAAAATGTCACGGAAATTTCTGCGGAAATGTGTTGCTTTCACTCTAATTGTAATGTTTTCGCAGAAGAAAAGTTGCGCATCAGTTCAGTCCAAGCTTGGCGCGAAACATCCCTACACATTACCGCCTGGACTGAACTGTGGACCGAACTGGTTGAAAACTGACAAATAATGCTTCCCCTAAACACTCAGTCCACAGTTCAGTGCAGCCATGAATGTGTAGGGATGTTTCGCGCCAAGCTTGGACTCAACTGGGGCGCGGCTCGCGAACTTTCAGCACGACGAAACTTTAGGGCTCAGTTCTTAATTGTCGACCATTTTCTCCTTTTCTTCTGCAAAAACACTACAATATGCGTGATGAGCAACACATTTCTGGAATTAATAGTTTTGGGTATACAAAGTCCTGTAATGCGTACGAAACGTCCCAACCCACACTGTTAGCGTTCATGTTTGTCTTATACTGGAGTTTAGCATGAGATACTTCAAGCAACAAACGGTCTGTCCTAGTAGCTGCTACAGACTACTCGCGTTTGCACTTTGTATAACATGTTTTAATTATAATCTCAAACCATTAATGCTTGTTATTGTTTACAGTTGTACTTGGAAAATTGACCTCGTCTTATCGTCTAAAGACATCAACAGAAAGGGACAATCGTTTACGATTGATGAACGAAATTATCCATGGGATAAACGTCATAAAAATGTACGCTTGGGAGAAACCATTTGCCAAAATGATAGACAAAATCAGAAAGGCGGAATTGCATTTCGTACGACTAGGACTGTACGTTAAAAGCTGTTACATAGCCTTTGGAACGTTTCATGTACTATCACTGTTCGTAACGATCACAGCATTGGCAATTATAGATCGAAGTTTATTAAACCCGAAGTCTGTTTTTGTTGCAAGTCCGTTAATATACGCGAATGCTATGGCCTTAAGTTACCTACTACCACAAGGTATGATATTCTTAAGCGAAATGTCGGTTTCATTGGACCGTATTGCGGCGTTTCTGCTTTGTGATGAAGTTGATGTGGTAGCAACCTCGACGAAAGAAAATGTTGCACTTAAAATCGAACATGGTGCATCAAAGTGGGATCAAAATGCCAAAGATAACTTGCTCACAGACTTGAACGTCGAAATATGGCCCGAAAAGCTGACTGCTATAGTTGGTCCTACTGGAAGTGGGAAAACTAGTTTGTTAAATATGATCCTGGGAGAAATGCCAATATCCAGTGGACTCTTGTCGGTCAACGGAAGTATCAGTTATGCATCACAAGAGCCTTGGATATTTCCATCGACGGTACGTCAGAACATACTATTTGGTAGCGAATGGAACGAAACTCGCTACAGTGCCGTGATTAAGTGCTGTGCTCTCGAACGTGACCTAAAGCTTCTCCCTTATGGTGACAAAACAACGGTTGGGGAAAAAGGGACATCTCTAAGTGGTGGGCAGAAGGCCAGAGTTAGTCTTGCCCGAGCCATTTATAGGGACGCAAATATCTACTTATTAGACGACCCGCTTTCGGCGGTAGATGCGCACGTCGGTAAACAAATCTTTGAGCAATGCTTTGAAGTTTTTCTCAAAGGAAAAACGGTAGTATTGGTTACACACCAACTGCAGTATTTACAACGCGTTGACTACATATTGGTATTGCATAACGGATCATTAGCCGCCAAAGGGACTAAGAATGAGTTAGAGAGCTCGGGTTTCACTTTCATTAAATACTTAGGACAAAATAATGAAGAAGAAGAATTAGAGGTAACCGATAACTCTATTGGTACAGATCCCAAACCTTTAGAGGAAAAGTCCCAATTTGAAGAACAAACAAAGGACTCTTCCTTCATTTCATGTGACACATATAAACGTTACTTTTTAGCATCTAAAGATTACGTAACACTCGTGTTCGCCATTTTATTTTCTTCTCTCACACAAATAGCTGCAAGTGCTACCAACTACATTTTAGCGCAATGGTAACGTATGCCACTACTACTACTACTACTACTACTAATATGTTTAGGGTAGATGTGGGACAATTTGAAGATACTGATCACCAACGATACAGTTACATATTCGGCAGTATCGCAATCGCTTCTGTTATTTTCACAATTTTAAGATCCATTTATTCTATGAAGCTAGCCAAGAGATCTTCCAAAGCATTACACGAAACAATGTTTAAAAACGTCATTCGGGCTACTGTAAGCTTCTTCTATGCAAACTCGTCCGGAATAATTTTAAACCGCTTTGCAAAAGATTTGGCAATCGTTGATGAACTGCTGCCTATGGCAGTGATGGTCGTTTTGCGAACGATCTTAAGTATTTTAGGAGTCTTTGTAGTGATTTGTTTTGTTAACGCTTGGTTTCTTATTCCAACTCTTTTAGTTGTAGCCACCCTTTACTATTTAAGGCGATTTTATTTAACTACAGCTTTAAATCTGTTGAGAGTGGAAGGGCAATGTATACTATAACCCACAAATTTATCCACATCAGCAAATATCGTTTTAGTGCGAGGACCAGTTTATAGTCACGTAAATGCTTCTTTGCAAGGTCTACCCATCATAAGAGCATTTGGGGTTAAAAATGTATTGACAAACGAATTTTACTACCATCAAGATATACACACTAGCTCGTTATATATGGCGTTAGCAACTTCTAGAGCATTTGGATATTGGGCAGATCTAGTAGTTGTCATTTATATTGTGGTGCTCACACTCCACTATACGTTTAATTCAGGTATACTCATGAGATTGTTCTTTAAAGCCAAGAAATTACATCCCGTTCTTTCAGATGCACATGGTGCTAACATTGGATTAGTTATATCTCAAGCAATGCAAATGATGGGCCAATTAGCTTGGGGAGTGCGACAATTCGCGGAAATGGAAAATTTTATGGTATCAGTCGAGCGATTATCTCAATATGACACAATTAAAACAGAACGATCCGGCGACCATGCGGAAATAGACTGGCCTACTCGCGGGGAAATTAAATTTGTCGGCGTCAGCTTGAAATACTCTGAAACAGCACCTTACGCTTTGAAAGATTTGAATTTCATTATCCGTCCGTTGGAAAAAGTTGGTATCGTTGGTAGAACGGGTGCTGGAAAATCTTCGATAATGTCCGCCATATTTCAATTTGTCGAAATAGAGGGTTCAATTGTAATCGACGACATTAATCTTGTAAACGTTAGTTTGGGCTATTTAAGAAAGAAAATATCGGTCATTCCCCAAGATCCAGTACTATTTTCTGGAAGCCTCAGGTATAACTTAGATCCTTTTAGCGAATATCAGGATGAAACGCTGTGGCGTGCACTAGAAGAGGTCAGACTTAAAGAGGTTGTCGATAATTTCAGTTCAGGTATTAATCTCTCAATTGGGTTAAATGGGATAAATGACAGAGGTTGAAGGTCTAAATCTGGAAATATCACAGGATGGGTCCAATTTCAGTGTAGGCCAACGCCAGCTTATATGTTTAGCGCGCGCTATTCTCCGAAAAAACCGGATATTGCTTCTGGATGAGGCAACAGCGAATGTTGATCTTGAAACTGACATAATTATCCAGGAAACTATTAGAGATAAATTTTCGAAATGCACTGTTCTAACTATAGCACATAGGTTAAACACCATCATGGATTCCGACAAAGTACTGGTGGTGGATGCAGGGGTCGCAGTTGAATTTGACCATCCCTATGTACTACTTCAAAACAAAGTGGGGGTGTTTTATAATCTAGTGCAACAAACCGAAAAAGTGATGGCGAACACTCTTCTATCAATTGCGAAAGAGGTGTCTTAACCTGCTTTTTTTACTTGGTTACTTAGTGCAACTTTGTTACAGAGCTACGAAAAGAATACATCACCAACAGCAATAAATCAATATAATTGATAAACCTCTGTCTGTTATAGCATGTAAAATCTGAGAGATGTTCTAAATGTTTAGTAAATTTAGATTGATTTTTAGTTCACTAATCAATGGGTTAGTATAATGGTTCATATCCGTATAAAAGAAGAAATCCGAAGCAATCCCTTGAGATCCTCCGAAATTCCGACTTTTGCCCGAGAGGGATAGAAATACTTGTTATACCTAATGGTATAAATCGTTACATGATCATTCATCTCATAGTCGAAGGGCTTTACTAAATGTTGAGCTCTCGGTGTTCACAAGTTACAAGAAATCGCCTTTAAATGAAATATCGCTTGGGCATAAAACTCTCTTGAATATTTTTTAATTAAATCAATCCACTACTACGCTAATTCAAATATATAACGAAGCTATCGACAACAAATAGTAACACGACAGAACGCGACAATACTACAACGCGATAGAGGTTCGAGAAGTTCGCAACAGTTTGGAAGCAGGATTGTTTCCTGCATGTGCTGCTATAATCCTGCTTCTTAGTGCAAGTCAGCAACATTAACATTTCCCAATACTTACTGTTAGATGCTTAAGTAACAATATAAACTATTAGATGTCGGTGGAAATCTTTGTAACGTTGCCAAATTCAGTTTTTCCTTTTCCAAAAGGTAAGTACTCCATTCCAAAAAGAATGGATTATCGTATAAAGTGGAATCGAAAGGAGAACCTGAACCCCGTATGCAATAGGCGGTGCACTTTGCATTTCCCGATCGACGACTAAATGAAGATTAAATGTAAGCTATTTTGAATAAAGTGTATTTAAAATTTCGCTAGCATGCTCCTTTCTATGCAATGCAATGTCGTTACCATATGTAATTTCTCTCTCGGTTTTTTTTACTTAATATAATACTTGCTCCTACCTATTGCCTTGGAACACAGTTTCGTACAAAGGGAAAACAATACTTCTTAAAAAGCTAGTAAATCATATACTAGGGTCGCTCTATAGTTATTTGTATTAAGCCGTACATCTTAATAAGTATCTGCTCTTCAATTGAGCAGATTTCTCATTCACTTTAGCGCGCCTTATTTGAGAAATTGTGATCACTATCTTTCTTTAAACTTTGACCATTTTGTATGTATTTTTTCAATATTTACACAATCAATAAAAGTAAGTTAATTTCTAGGTTAATTTTATATGTCAAACAGATTACAATAGAGTATGGTTACAAGTAAAAGAAGAAAGCACACGCAAGTTCTGTATTAATTTCCGTACTGTTAATGTAAAAGTGATAACGTATTGGCCTTATTGGAATTAGTAAAGTAATTGAAGTAATTTGGAGGCATTCCTAATGCATACCCTACCCAACTTACGGCAGTGTCTACATTAATTAATAAATTAATAAATTTAAAACAAATTTAAAATTTTAATTTCGTGTAGCGTAAGATATACGTTGCTATTTAGTGAAATACCAACTAATCAAAATGAGACAAAAAGATGTTGGTTTAAAGGTGACCTGAAAATTTTGTTATGGTTCCTGGTATACTTTCAATGTGTGTGGTGAACCATTTTCTTTTGGTCCAATTGTTGATCAACTTTGGTTGGACCAAACTAGGCTGGTCTCTGCAACCAATTCCATACTAAAATATTGGGTACCATTTAGTAAATGAACTCGGTTAGCTCCGTACTACAAGCGTAAGAAGCCTGTCAGTATTAAATCTTCTTGTACGAGTTATTGTTGGTAGGCAACACACCCCTGTTTTGAATTTGGTCTAAAAGTCATGCTATAGAGGTAGGTGTAAACCACTCCTCGCATATAATACCCAGTTTGTGTCAATATATATTTCTTATCACTAACCATATTACTTATTTTCATTTATTATGAAAAATTATATTATTTACACCCCTACTGACATAGTTCCTCATGAAGGCTGTAGACATCATTACCGAATTCGATTTGTTTTTCAAAGCATTGATTCCATTGAGCGCATTATTGAATCCACCGACTGCCCGAGCACGACTACTATTAATGAATAATTTGACACTGATTTTAACATCATGTCACGAGCGTGGCTGTCGCCAAGTATTAAAACTCCGGGTTAACCATGACTTGGGTGCTTGATACAACTTTTTAAATCCAAAGTGCTTAGTGCTTGGGGCTTGAATGAGCTTTTTCTGAGTGGTTGGCGTGTGGTCTGGTGGGTGAAACACTTTCACAGCTTTTCATCAGCTGTTCTGCACCGATCTAGGGACTCCACTCTAACTCTTTGGACCTTTAGGGAAAGGCTACCTCATTGTAAATCAATTAAGTATCCTTCTACCTTCTATCAACCAATGCTAGTGATGTGAAAACTTTCAAACCTGAGGTAGCCTTGAAGGCTACTGAAACCCCAGATAACGACACTGGAGAGTGGCAAAAGCCGAAAAGTAGGCGAAACAGAAGGCCAACGTTAACTACTGGAACGTCTGACAGCGATTCTACCATTAAGGGTGTCGCTAAAACAATAACTTATTATGTGTCACGATTACATCCCGACACAACTATACCACAAATTTCGGAACATATGAAGAATAAGAGCATCACTCCTACCGTAATTCAACAAATGCCTTCTAAATATCCTGAGTCTTACTCCTCATTTAAGATCTCTATCCAGCCAGAAGATAATGAGCTATTCCTTTCACCAACCACATGGCCAAAGGGTACTTGTGTTAATCATTTTTTATGGCGTCTTCAAAAACTCATGCCAAAAAGAGATTAGAAGTATTTCACATTAACATCCAAAGTATAACAAACAAATTAGATCTACTAGAAGCTTTTATTTGTGATCAAAATGCTTAAGTGAACACTGGATATTGAATCGGGAGATACTAAGTACTTTACGAATTGGTAAGTGGGAAGTATCATCAGCCTACTGCCGATCCCAATCTACTCACGGCGGTGTCTTAATATTAATTCCAAACCATAGTGTTGATATTGAACAATTGACATATGTTAATTAGATGTCTATTGAATCGCATTGTGAGGTCTGCGCAGTTTTATCTCGTGAGCTTAAAACTGTGGTTGTTGCGGTTTATCGTTCGCCTGCGGGTAACTTTGAGATCTTCATGAACAATATGGAACACCTGTTACTTAAATTAAATGTTTTTACTAATATTATCGTAACCGGCGATTTTAATGTTTCAGGGTACAGCGCCGAGCAGTGCGTGTACTAATGAATTTAGGCTATAAAAGCGAGTGTCGTGACGCCTTTAAATGTGCGAAAATACTAACTCTGCCATGTATATTTATATTAACTTGTCTTTGTCATGTTAAATTAAATATTGACAACTATACCTACAATTCAGACGTCCACGATTATTGCACGAGAAGGAGAGCAGCAATAAGAATTCCATTTTACCGGTTGAGCAAAACGAAAGATAGCTCTATAGCTATGTCTCAAAAATTTTATAACCATCTCCCGGATACCATAAAGGCTTTACCTTACGCAACCTACAAAACACATATCAAACGATTTCTTATTAATAACCCTTTTTACTCATATCGGAATTTTTTAGTTATGAATTTTGAATTTAATTATTTTGTATTTAGTTTTTATTGACGTTTGTAAGCAATGTTTCTGTTGCAAAGCATAATAAACATTATTATTATTAAGTTGATTGGAACGGGCCAACTGGTTATATTTTATTTAGGCACAAGGTCTACTCTACATGCTTTATATATCATTAGATTGCCGCCGATTTAAGTAATCTGTTGCATAATAAATCATGCACAAAAGCAGTGCAAAATTGAAATACATACCAAAACATGGGCAACTAACGAAGAAAGCAATAACAGTTTCAACCAATAAACAGCCGCTATTCAAATTTAGCATAATTTAATTACTCACTCAATCATAATAATTAAAAGAATTGCGTTTATGTGAACTGTATGATAACGTATTATGTATTAAAGCAGAAATTCTTAACCTCCCGATAATTAATACCCAATTGCATCGCATCACATCTTGGATAAGCAATCAATTTTATTAGGGTTAACCAACCCATTAAAACGCGATGAGATTTCGCATCTTATTTTATGATTTAATATACAGAATAAATTTACTAGTCTGTAGTATTATAGTAGCGGACACCTAGATTTTGAAATTATGGAAAAGATAATCACTGCAATTGATTAATCTAATCTCTAGCTTGTATCATAAGTTAATTCAAATAGTCAGAATGGCTATCTTATAGCAGTACATTTTCGAGGACTCTTACTTAAAATAGTGAAATATGGAAGAGTGCTCCCATTACAAAAATAGGAATCGGAATCCCAGGGACAATGCTAACTTGTTATCTTTTTTGGGATTTATGTAAGTAAACAAAAAGGATTTTACTTGCGGCTCTTATCGTTATCTCCAGGTGCATATATTTACTACACTTGTGATCTTAAAGATCAATGCACTATGAAATATAAAGTAGGTGCAGTTTGTACCCCAAACTGTTCAGGAACCGTTCTATTGGAAATCGTTTCAATCAATCAATTTTTAAAATAAACTAGCAGGTTTGATTAATATGGTGCTTTTACAGCTACACGTTACCCATATTTTCACAAGGATACAGAAAAAGGATAACTGAAGATGACATATACGAAACATTTTCTGCTCACAAATCAACAAACTTAGGCGAAAGATCAATAAAATTGTGGGAACGAGAAATTCAACGCTCGTCCAAAACAAATTCGCAACCCTCACTCAAGAGGGTGTTTATGAAACTATTACTTCGTGATTACCTATTAATTGGTGTGGGCGTCGCCATTTGTGAACTAATTATCAGGTAAGTAATAAACGCATGAGATTACCAAGCTCAACAATCGAACTTTAGGCCATCGCAAGTTTTCCTCCTTGGAGAGCTGATTATGTGCTATTCCAAAGATGGAGAAGACCGGAAACCAATTCAGTATGCGATGGGTATTGTTGCACTTTCGATTACGCTGACTCTCGTCTCGTATCCTCTGATAATGGAATGCTATCACTTGGCACTCAAAATCAGGGTGATCTGCTGCAGTCTGATTTACCGCAAGACTTTGAGACTCACAAAAACAGCGCTCACTGAAACGACTCCGGGAAAAATTATCAACCTAATATCAAATGATGTAGCTGTATTTGATCGAATAATATATTCCTCGATGTATTTATGGGCAGCTCCGATTCAGACCATTATTCTTGCATCCATAATGTATAAAGAAGTGGGGACATCTTCGTTATTTGGAGTTGCGATTTCACTATTCTTTGTTCCGTTTTATTGTAAGTAATGGTAGGTTGCAAACACATAAAACATATGACTGACTTGGACCAACTACAACGTCTAAGGTTAAGCGCAACCTCATTATCATGATCATTTTTAATTGATTTTCTCAGTCTACCTGTCGTTTTTCTTCCTACACGTTTGGATTAGTACGTCGCATATTAACTAAACTTAAATATGCAGTTGGCAAGGGTAATTAAAAATTTCTTATTCAGGTTTTTATATGAACCTCCAATTTGTTGCGTGAACACTTGTACACTTGAAAGCCTTTTCCCGCCTCGAATTTATGCGTACCTGTTTTTTTCCTTGTGATACGAATTTTAACCTCTTATGATTTTAGAATTGGTCAACTTTGGGAATACTGAGGGATTCTCTATGAAAATGCAGGTGGTCTACGGTTTTTAAATCTTGATCGCTAAAAAACAAAATTAATTCTTCAATTACCCATTCAGGGATCCTTAAACAACTCTAACATGAAATTCTTCAAGAATTCACGATATGCATTATTCAATCATAATATATCTACTCCTTTCGTTTATTCCGAAATTTGATTCACACATCGTTATTTTAAATTGGATTTTATTCATTTCTGATAATACGTAAAATTTTAACAACATGCGAGAACAAAAGGTGGTCCTGTTAAGTTTCAGCATTGAATTCAGATTTATTATTCAATGGTTTCAGTAAATGAAAATTGAAAATATTTTAGCGTTACAACCTGCATGTTTAAGTTTTCAGAAATATTTTGCCATTCGTTTCGTTGTTCGACACCATGTCTAGATTAAAAGTCAGTTTGAGGTCGAGGCTGATGTAGCTATGTAGCCATAAGCAATGGAAAATCAAGTTCGAGTGTCCTCTTTGTCAAAACGCAATACATCGTTTACGTAATGTTATTTAGGTTTAGTCAGATACTCATGCTTCCCTCCATATGGTGTTCTGCCATTTGAAAATTTAAAATGCACATTTAGAACAGTAATAATGACTTGACTTTTTCAAGAATCTACCAAACCTATAGATACAGAACCAACTAGACCTAGTCCACAGATCTATTTAGTTTGGTCAAGGTTTCATTGTTCTTAGGAATAAACCACTGGATGAGCCTATCCTTCTCAGAGCTATCTGATTGGCCTACACTTACATATGCATCAGAATTCCATCACATATCTCTTGACTTAACGTAACAAATAAATAAATACATGAAAAGGTAACCACAAGTAACTAAACGTAATCGTTTTTCAGATGCATCAGGAAAAGCGGCATCCATCCTCCGCCTCAAAACGTCAATGAAAACCGATCAGCGTTTACGTTTGATGAATGAAATAATCCAAGGAATACGTGTGATAAAGATGTACGCCTGGGAAGTTCCTTTCTCTAAAACGATCGGCAAAATCCGAAACCTGGAGCTTCATTCTCTAAAATTGGGACTGTACATTAAAAGCTGCAATTTAGCATATCCAGTCATAAACGCCTTCAGTCTATTTGCAGTACTAACGGTAGCCATACTTTTAAACCAAACTTTAACTGCAAGAACGATATTTATGCTGACTGCTTTTTTTTTCTATATCGGTCTTGGTTTGAACTATTATCTACCAGTCGGTATGGTATTTTTGCACGAACTTTTCGTGGCATTCCGCCGCATCACGGATTTTTTGCTATGTGACGATATTTTAGAAAAGGCAGTATTCTCCTCAAAAACTACTACTGCAATATCAATCCAAAATTGCACGACAAAACGGGATAAATCTTCCCCAAGTAATACCTTCGATAATATAAACCTGGACATACAGTTGCAAAATTTAACTGCAATAATTGGTTCTGTTGGAAGCGGTAAGACGAGCTTACTGCACACCATCTTAGGAGAAATTTTACCGACTACCGGAGAGGTAGTCGTTAACGGAAGTCTTAGCTACGCATCCCAAGAGCCTTGGATATTTTCATCCACGATACGACAAAATATTCTGTTCGGTAGAGAAATAAATGAGGAGCGTTACAATAGCGTAATCAGATGTTGTGCCCTGGAAACGGACCTCAAACTTCTACCCTATGGAGACAAAACCACAGTTGGTGAGAAAGGGGCTTCTTTGAGCGGAGGGCAAAAAGCGAGAATCAGTTTAGCGCGAGCCATATACAAGGAGGCAGATATTTACTTACTAGACGACCCACTTTCTGCTGTTGATGCAAAAGTGGGCAAACAAATTTTTGAACAATGCATTCAACAGTTTCTTTACGATAAGACTGTCGTACTGGTTACACACCAATTGCAATACCTCGCGCATGTAAATTATATTGTGGCCCTACACGGTGGGGAAATTACTGCGAAGGGAACTAAAGCAGATCTTGAAGGTTCAGGATTTGATTTTGTAAAATACTTGCCGGGCACTAACGACGAATTAGAAACCGGAAACCATGCGCTTACATCAAAATCAGTTCAGGGCGGTTATACAGAACAAAAAAAGGAACCAGCCGGAAAATTTACTGGAATAAAGCATGTCGAATTTGATACTTACAAGAGATACTTTCTTGCGTCCAAGAGCTATGCGCTTCTGGTATCTACTGTCTTATTATATATTTTAGTACAGTTATGTACAACTGGTTCTTATTACTATTTGGCGCATTGGTACGCATCTATCGTGAACTAATTCAAAAGTTTATTTATGAGTGTTTTAGGGTAAATACAGAAGAGGGAAGAAACTTTATGACTTCCAAAGAAGATCGCAATGTTTATTTCTACACCTACAGCAGTATCATCGTGTTCGCCATCGTATTTACATTTTTTAGATCGTTTTGTTTTGTTAATCTGGCAAGAAACTCATCGCACGTACTGCACGGGACAATGTTCCACAATGTTGCACACGCCACAATTGATTTCTTCAGTTTAAATTCTTCGGGTGTCATTTTGAATCGATTTGCGAAGGATATGGCTATTACCGATGACATTTTGGCATTTTCCATTATGAACGCTGCGCGTATGCTTATAAGTGTGGTGGCTATCTTTGTCGTAGTTTCCGTTGTTAACCCTCTATTTCTAATACCATCCGTGTGTGTGGTGGCAATATTGCATCAACTGAGAAAATTCTACCTAGCAACCCATCTTAACGTACTGAGAGTGGAAGGTCAAGGTAATTCCTATGCGACACAAATTGTTCATAATTTTTTAATCAATCTCTAGTGCGTGGACCTCTTTACGGCCACGTCAACGCCTCGTTGCAGGGTCTCACCACCATACGAGCGATGGGAAACCAGAAATTGCTACAACAGGAATTCTACCATCTCCAAGACACTCACAGCAGCGCTTTCTTTACAAGCATAATGACGTCATCAGCATTTTCTTGTTGGTTAGACCTAATCGTTATAGCATTCATTGCTGTACTGGCCATCTACTACTCATTCAACTCAGGTAGCGCTACGCCAATTTAGAATTACTTAAGACCACGGTTAATTTTCCTAGAATCCTACGGGGGCAACGTTGGATTGGTAATATCGCAAGCCATGCAACTGACCGGTCAGCTAGCGTTTGGAGTAAAGCAAATAACAGACGTCGAAAGTTTCATGATATCAATAGAACGAATTTTAGAATATAACTCAATTAAAAAAGAAACTAGGACTGCAATTGAAAATCTGCCGCCCACGTGGCCTGATAGGGGAGAAATAAAATTTGAAAATGTCAACTTGAGGTACGCTCAGAATTCGCCGTATGTCTTGAAAGACGTCAATCTCTGCATACGCCCACTAGAAAAGATAGGAATTGTAGGTAGAACTGGTGCGGGTAAATCGTCGCTAATATCCGCTTTGTTCCAACTTGTCGAAATTGAAGGATCGATATGTATTGACGGCGTGAATATACGAAATATAGGCTTACAACAGTTACGAGCGAAAATATCCATTATTCCTCAAGATCCTGTTTTATTCTCTGGGAGCATGAGATTCAATCTGGACCCGTTTGAGGAGTACGCTGATGAAGTACTTTGGAAAGCTTTAGAAGATGTACAACTGAAGCATGTTATCGGCAATTTAAAATCTGGTAGTAACTACATTGTAATTGATTGTGCGATAACAATTTATGTTTAGAAATTACAATGGACGGATCCAACTTCAGTGTGGGACAACGACAATTGATTTGTTTAGCTCGCGCGATTGTACGAAATAACAAAATATTAGTTTTGGACGAGGCTACAGCCAACGTCGATAACGAAACTGATGCAGTTATTCAAAAAATAATTCGTAGTAAATTTGGACACTGCACTGTACTTACTGTCGCTCATAGATTAAATACTATAATGGATTCCGATAGAGTTTTAGTGATGAATGATGGAGCGGTAGTTGAATTTGAGCATCCCCATGTGTTGTTGCAGAATAAAGACGGCCCATTTTACAGCTTGGTACAACAAACCGAAAGGACGATGACCCAATCTCTCGGCGAAATTGCCACAGAGGTATTGACTAAGATTTTGGAATCAGGAGTAGTAATAGTTTTTATTCTTGTAGGGTTACAACAGACTCAAAGGAAGAATGGATTAATTTTTATTTATACCTGTAAAACCCCATACATTTGCAGTGGTTTTAATAATAAAAACTTAAATTGCCATTCTGTTTACTGCTCAAACTTTTCTCTACACAAGTTACCTACCACCAGGAATGTGGTCAACTGACTAAATACTGTCCCCCTAGGATCTGAAGAATAAATCCGGGCGACTTGGACTTTCAAAACATTGCCTATTACCATTTAATTTAAGAGTATTTTTATCTTGAGCCCTATTTGCGGCTTATCCCGTTAGCGTTAGGGACTTGTTCCCTTGTCTAAGGTTGGGGACCACAAAGCTAGTGTCCACATGGTTCAAAACCGTGTAGTAGGTTCCCAGAAACCGCCCTTGCGTGTAAATTTATAGAAAAAGTTGTCGACATATATCATAATTGTGCATTATTTCCCCCTATTGTGAAATAATACAAATGAGATGTTTTTAAGATAAAAATGTATCTTAACAATTATAATTTCTATAGCACGACTAAGCATTGCAGGATTGCAGGGTTCTCGACATTCCAAATCCGAAGTCAAAATTCCCCTATTTCGAAAAAAAATGTTCTCAAAATTTAGAAACCCCTTTTTTTCATCATAGGTATTTCTCACGATCCGCTGCGTTGTATACTGTAACTAATTATGGGATATAGAAATTTCGTATGTGCAATAAACTTTCTGATTTTACAATTTATTTTAATTTAGTGTACCAGACTTGATAGGTAACTAGACTTATTTCATTTCCAACAGTCACAAAGAAAAATAGTGTTGTCTAACTCCTTACCATAAAAGTTTAATTACAGCCTTAGCATTTTAATGTCACTAATTTAGTCTTTAATCACCAAAATTGTCACTCAGTTTTTACTACATAATAAATTTATACTAATTTTTAAGTAATATTTTCGTAATTGTTTAACAGCGTTAAAGAACAAATGGCAATGTCTCTATCACATAATTATAATGACCTTGTATATCTCTTAGGTAGATCATTGATATATTAATCGATGGTAAAATGCATTGCTTAATATACAGCAAATTATGCACCCTAGTGCATTGACTACCATAATTGCAAACGACAGGAATTTACAAACGTTTATTAAGAAATAAATAGTTTATTAATTAATATTAATTAACGGTACCATTAAATTTGCCACCACCAATTGGACACTGCAACTATTTTTCTTTGCACCAATTTGAAATGATTCTCACTTCCACTTCTAAAAAATTGCGCGGTATTTTGTGAAGCAGCCTCGACAACCGAACTTGAAATGGGCACCCTCTACGCAGGTCGGATCCCTATTTTGCTTCTATCCGAATAGCAAACATATCGACGACGCGTCTACTCAACACTTATTGAAACTTAGCAAAAAATCCGATACAACTGAATACCGAACGATCCTCGAAATATTCACACGTACATCATTTTTACAACATACTTTAAGGGGTTGATTCTGTCCCACCAAATCAGCATAGCTTGTAAAACAATTTTTTGATGGGGATTAGTTTTACGTCTTTTTACTTAAGATGCCTACATTTTTTTAAATTTTATTTTAATATCTTTTAAAAAATTGGATTGCGCATGCGCTAAACAAATTGAGGACGCATTAGTTTCGCAGTTTTTCTGCTGTAACCTTTTGACCCGTCAGTCTACGTAGCCGAAAAACAATAGCGGCCTTTCTTATATCCTGAAGAACAATTTTCAAAGCGATCGTACGTTTGTACACAAGACAGACGGACGGACGGACAGAGAGGGACGGACAGATAGACAGACGGACGGACAGACAGACGGGTGGACGGACGGACAGACACACCAACAAACAAGGATCCTTGGACACTTAAAAAAATAAAAGCTTCACTCTGGCTCATGCAATCATAATAGCGCCCCAAATCTTTTCTCTCCTCCATCATGACTGCTGTTTCCGATAGGAAAAAACTTGGAGCACTGCGAGCTGGAATGGATCTACAAGAAGGTTGACTCTAAACTTCTTCATTTTCTATCGTCTTACAAAGAAACTAGAAGGGTCGTACGTGCTGCAAGTTGAAAGTGCCAACATTTTGAAGTCTGCCGATCTATTCCCACAGTTCATACTTGACAATGTGGACTTGTGTATGTGTGTGTGTGTGTGTGTGTAGACAATGTAAATTCTTTGGAATTTTGAATTGACCCGACACATTCCATTCCATGGGGGGAATCATGGCTGTAACTCCGGGAAGCTGTAGCTACTGAACCTAAAGTATCTTCAGTACCTTGTTACTGGTACAGTAGAAGTGATGCCGTACCACCGCCACCCAAAGTAGGTCTTAAAACAATTACAATAGCGGTTGTCATTTCCATCATAGTCGGGCGTTGTGGCGAAAGTTCAAGCATTGGGATTCCAGCAACACTACGCCATATCAGCATACCAGAATATGTTCCGTATTAGCGCATCTTCCCCCACTTTCCATCACTGAAGGATGGTTGTCCATAATGGCGTCATCACTGCAACATCCACAACTTCAAATGTTTGCCATTGAATCTCAAGAGCTTGGTTAATTTGCAATTTATGAGAATTACAACTTAGGTATGTTTCATGGTTTCTGTACTTTGCCACTAGGTAAGAGCTACGGCAAACTTGAAATAATCAATAGTGTGTACCTACTTGAAGATACCCATCAAATGACAAGGCCTTCTTTGATTGACATATTATTTAGGTGGCCATCTAAAATTTGAGTAACTCGACACCTAAAGCAGCTGCCGTAAATCACACTAAGAGCATTCCTTCTTGGGTAGGAAAGGTTAAAATTAAAGTATAGATAAATAAGTAACTAATTAGGTGTTTGATGAATAATTTCTACGGGCAAAGGTCATGCTGGTCAACGATGTGCAACTAACAGTTGTCGATGTGGTGACGGATTGTTTGTAGGTATTCGTGTTTAATGGATAATTATCACAAAGTTGTGACTTTTTTTGTGGCCATGGGGTTCTATTACAGAAAAATGTTAATATTATTAATTTATTAGATTACAAAAAGGACAAATTCTCAAATAACACATTACATAACAGTATGTACCTACATCTAATACTCGATTAAGCCGGTTCCTCTCTTACACAACACATTGCACCAAAAGTAAAATAATTTGCGATTATTAATAAAACAGAATAATAAATCATACTGCATTGGTATTCTCTTAAATATGCTATTCTCCCTTGAACTTTGCGGTTACATGTAATTCGATGTACCAATAGATGATCTGATGTAAAAGTAAATGTTAGTCTGTCGCCTTTGAACTTAATTGTTTAAAACGTACCCAGCTAGCTGAAATTAATGAAAAGAGAACATTTGCGACTAATAATACCTTTCTGGTAGAATCGTGCAAATGTGAAATAAATAGCAATAAGAAAATTGTAGCTAATTACCATACTTGAAATGACTTTATCTTCTTATAAGAAACTGAACTGAACGACAGCGTTATGATCTAGTGGCAATTGATGATGTAATTATTGTAAGATCATCTAATTACACAATTCGTTGCATAAAAATTCTTAGAGATTCCTACAAATTGCAGTAAATTACAGTATAACGTTGGAGCACAAATACTTCTCGTACATAGTTGCTTCTGTTCTAAGAACTGCCCTTTATGTTGACCATTTCTTAATTGTCTGCTAGTTTTTAAATGTTACGTACTTCTTTGGAGAATAAATTACCTTTCCCAAATCAAATTGCTTGCATGTGTAATGTAATGAAATGCATGTAATTTATTGCATTCTTTCATATTGTAATATGATCCTATAGATTCTCATAGAAATGATAAAGGTTTATGCGCCGCGGACAATGTTGGCGATTACATTTTGGTTGCCGAAATGCATCGAATTAACATACTTTTACCACGAATCGCTTGTTTATGATATTGTGCCAATTTATGACCAATTTCAAGGAAAAAAAACACCCGAACGCATTGCATGTGCACTTGCCCGACTTTTCATCCTTCCAAACCAATCAATCAAATGAGAATAAACCTGACAGTTTCTTATTCAGAACGCAGAATAAATCCTTTTCATGATTTTCGTGTGGTTCTTCTGAATCAAATCAATCATTAACGATTGTAATTGTTTATACCAATTTTCAGCTTTCTTTCAATTCTTTCGCTATTTGTGGAAATTTGATCTAATTTGACAGTACTAAATGGAGTTACAGAACGTGTAATTATAGGAGCGGTGAAATCCAGCATGCTAACATGTCCTCTTTTGAGATATATGTATTACAATTATATTTTACATCTCAATAAATGATATTATTAGTATAAAGATTGATTGCCAGTGCCGCGGAGGTCTAATTTTTATTTTATGCAAAAGGGGTCGTCAACCCCTATGAATGTAACGAATCCCGTTCACGAGATATCATCACGAATGAACGAATATGTAAGATAAACATACAATATTTTTACAGGTCTCAATGAATGTACCTATTCACATTGCGTGAAGGAGATCGGAAGTAAATAGGATGATAGACACTACACAAATATCAAGTACCTAGCACAGGGGCAAATTAGAAACGTAGACACAAATACAAGCAGCTAACATTTAAAATAAGTATTCAAACAACACGCATCTACGTGTGTTAGCACATTGGAACTTTTAAAGAAGGTTATTAGTGTGAAGTTAAAAGGAAAAAAGTAGTGAAATCGTCAGCTCCCCACTTTTGAGATTGGGCTAAAATACCTAGTAATTCTGAATTTCTTAAATCCAGAGGAAAACCCAGCATGTGGATTTCTTCTTGTAAATTTTGTACGAATCGTGGAATTCACATTGGAATACCTAACTGATCTTTGACTGTATTTGCACATACACCCATTAATAAAGCATTTAGACAATGTATTAAATATTTGATGGTGATTAATCGACTTCCCATTAAACATCTTCGAAATTCTTTTGGTAGTGGTATTCCAAAACCGCACATAACGTAATACCTACGAATATTCAATTCACACGTAGGTACCTTGGAGCAATTTCTTCATGTTTTATAGAATCATTAGGTAGAAATTAATTAAATATTTCTTGTCCGGTAATTTGTACCATATTATAGTAGCCGTAAATAAAATTTCAAGCATTGGATTATTATAACGTTAATGTAAGCAATAAATAATGAATGACTTCAACTTTAAATTCGTGAGAAGTCTGAGCATGTACCTAAATTAGAAAAATTATAATTTTGCAATTCCTATACACTCCCTCTACAGTGTAGGTTATTCGTGTAGGTATTGTTATTTACAAAATTAGTAATTAAGAATAAGAAATATTCTGCTCCCTTGCTCATGATGACCTTACTTTAAAACAATAAAGATCGCGCAAACCTCAAAAAGTAAGAAATGTCAGGATCATTTCATTAATAACTCAATTTTTTTCTTCACCTTGTGCGCACCGTAGAATAATAAACGGTTTGCCATCCCAACCGCGTTTTGAAAAGAACGAATTATATCCTATTTATGATAAATAAGTTATATTTTGAAAATTTGGAAACTATGCAAAACATTATTTTGGGTGTTAGTATTCTACGAGTATGGTAGGTAGCAACTGTTGAAATTATTTCCTGAATATCAATGAATTTCTTCATGATGTAATTCGAAATAACTAAATCCGTTTTAATTTGTGACCATGAAAGCCTAAAGAAATCTATTAAAGGACTTTGCGATTATTTAAATTGCCCCTGGCTTCTTCGTGTTTTGTTTCAACGTAAACGTGCAATACATCTTCGTACTTGAAGCAGATTCCTCTAATTATATGTACATACCTATTATCGAATTGAACCATCTCGACATGCCAACTTATATAAATGTCACGTAAGAAAATAATGTACAGTATAATACAGACCACAGTGACGGTTTCAGTAATTTTAAAATTGTCCATTATTACACAATTATATCGCTACAAATATCAAATAAGGATCAAAATGATCGGGTACGCACGGAAGTATTTATTAATATTAACATACTTTCCTGAAAGTGAGAGTGGTTTTTTATCCATATATTTGAAATGACGAACATTTAGCATTAAAACAATAACCTTGAATTGGGAAGTGCAACATACCACAATTGAGACATAAAAAGTCATAGATGTCCATAAGCTGGGATCGTCTTGAATGAGAGAGAGCATGAGATGCCCCTTGGCTTTTGGCATCAGTATATAAATATCATCTTCGCCCATCAGAGATCAGTCTTAAGTGACCATTGTATACAACATGCGCTCACTTGTAAGTACCACACATCAATTGCAAAATATGTACCTAGACGCATATTTATGCTCTTACAATCCATTATTTTCAGATCGTTTTTCTATCCCTTTTGGCGTGCGTATTCGCACAATACCGACCTCAACCAAATTATCAACCAAATCCCACTGGTAAAGTGATATCTATCCTAAAACAGCTGTATGATCTCAACCCCGATGGTTCTTATCAGTGGAGGTAACTACTTGCTTTTGGACTGTCATAAAATCGCTAATTTCTTAATTAAATACAGTTTTGAAACTGAAAATGGAATTCAGTCGCAACAACAAGGAGTCTTAAAACAAGTAGGAAACGAAGTAGTCCCTGTCGTTACTGGATCCTATGCGTACCCGTCTCCTAATGGTGAACCTGTCGTCATTCAATTCATAGCTGATGAAAATGGATTTCAGCCACAAGGAAGTGTACTTCCCACACCACCTCCAATTCCAGAAGCAATTTTGAGATCGTTAGCCTACAACGCTGCTCATCCTGAAGAAAATGATCCGAAATACAACAAACCACAAAAGCGATATTAACGCTGGCACTTTGAAATCGAAATGTGTAAATATAATTTTGTCTATTATTTGATGCATGATAAGCGTCTCTGGATGGACAAATACTAATGCAAATGTTAATATATGGCTTGTTGAAGTTATGACTACAGAGTAGTTAAATTTATCTGTTATGTAACTGCGCATAATAAATGGCTCATCATGCTCATCATGTATTATTAATTTGTAAGAAAAGGTTACAAAAAATCATAATGCGATTGACATACACACACATTATAATTCCTCCTGCAAACTGACACCCATTTATTAACGATGTGAAATTTAGCGAAGGTGCAGAAAATAACACCCATAAACATTCCCAACTTTTTCTTCAAACGTTTTGCATTCTACATTTCACTGGTATGACTTATGAGACCATAAACTGCGCACCCACTCAAAAACACGCAATGCCTCTGCATACATAAATGCTCGGTGTATCGCACTTTTGCAAAACGATTTAAATTGCAAATATCGACAAAATCTAAAAATACGAGTGAAAGCAAGAATGTTGAATAAGGGTGTTAAGTTTCAAATCATCAACCCGTCGACATTGAGCAAAGAACTGATGTCTCATACCAAAGACCACATTAATTTGATACCCATAGGCCATTACAATAACACCGAATGACCATTTTTAGTTTATGCGGACTCTAATTCGGTTGACTTTACATGTTATTGTTATGAGGAATCGGTTTCGCAAAATACATTTGGAAACTGAAGGAACATTCTAGTCTGTTTAAATATAACAGTTAAAACGAGTATGTAGACATAGAGGATATAGTTCGCAATTTTAAGCTGGAAAATATTTAAAACCCATTGAAGGTTGTTTGCTTTTTGGGTGGGATTTCTGACTTAATAACCAAGAAAATGCATAACTGAAAGAATAAATTTACTCAAATGGAACCAGAAATAGCGCCATCTACATGAACAAGTTTAAAAAGTCGTTATGCAAGAGAGCGTGTTTTCCTCCTAATAATAATAATGCTAGGAGCGGGAAAAATACCGGTAGGCACACGCACGAGATCCTTACCCCATTCTCTTTCAAATGAGCCGCCTATCATCGCAGTCTATACAGTTTATTGAAAAATAGTGGAGCGTATACAATAGTTATTTGTTTCATTAGTACAAAAAATGTCAGTTTTCGGGACGAGGAAGATAGTTGCTGGACGACGCGTTAGCGGAGTCCAGCAACCTTCCGAGTCCCGAAAACGCATTTTTTGTACGAATAAAACATAAAATTTTTTCTCCAACCCCCTTTACTTCAAATTATATTCGAATTTAAACTCAGTATCAGTTTCACTACTATAGTATAAGAACTTCTGCTTTCTTGTCCTCACGTGTCATGCCACTCTAGTTTTTAGGTTAACTTATAACCTATTCGTTCTTACTTCTTACTTCTCACCTCTCACGACTTTGTAGGGAGCAAATCTTGAGGTAGCATGTTCTGCCGTTTCTATAATGTCTGGCGGAGTGCAATCCATGTCGCTATCAGTTTCAGTCATTTTATTGTATACTCAATAAATATTGTTATATTTTGCATTGAAATAAAAAACTTACCATACAGTTTTTTAATTAAAATTAATTGCAATTAACTTTTTCAAATTTTGATTTCAAAATGACAGATAATAGTGCAATGGGTCTGAAGTAGATGGCGTTACGCGCGACGGCGGGTTGTATACGTATTAAAATTACGTTCACGGAATATGTAAATTACGTTACACATGGTTTAAATAAAAATAGCGAGCGTAAATCATTTTCAATACATGTAGGTAACAAAAATATTTGATTTGTATGTATAGAAATATCTTACAACCTGCAATGTAAAACGATGCCAATGTGACATATCTCCGTGATTGTAATTTTTTAATTGGCCAACTTTCGAGGTCAATTTCTTTTTGGTACTAGGGCCAAAAGTATCCACTTTTTGTACAGTTGCCATGGTGAAAGCGATTAATCCGCAAAACGTCAATTTTAGGTACCGAACACTGTCACAAAATAGCGTCTTATTCAGGTGGTTGGAGAAAAATATATTTTCTCAATCAACTATTTCGTTTGCTGCTTTTAAAGGCCGTTGCACCGACAAATTTAAGCAGAGCTTAGCTTAAAATCCATGGCAACCATTGTTTCAATAATCGTTGCCATGATTTTAAGCTACGCTCTAAGCTCCGCTTAAATTTGTCGGTGCAAACCAGGTGCAAACGGCCATTAGTAGTCGAGATGGTCTTTAGCAACCAAATTTAAATGGTAAATGTTTTTGTAATTACCTATTTTCCTCTTGTTTTTTTGTCTGTTCCTTTTTCTAAGATTATTATTACTGTTTTCTTAAAATTAACCGATTATAATGAAATTAATGTATTATCTTTTATAATATGTATTTGCACGTTATATAGAATTGTTCGTTTGGAAGGGTATGGTAGACCGCCTTAAGGCGATCCAGCCATTTGCTTTTATTTTTCTGCCTGGGTTTCGGTGTTAAAGCGTCATGGGGCATGGAAAAGCTCATCGACGGCAGAAAAATACATTGAAGGCTCGGTAGAAGGAAAAGTTAAGATTGCACTATGATACTTGACATCTGTTGTCAATGATATATAAATTTTATCGTTTATTGAATTCCATGAAATTTTCATTTTTAAGGGTTGTTGCAGTCGTACATAAAGCTTTGTATATAGTTTGTGCCTCGCTCGGCTAAATAAACGGCTAGTCCATAAAGACCCAGTTTATGTACTTGATATATAAATAGCTATTATCACATATAACTCGAGATTCAAAAAGAAAATATCAATGCAGAGAATAGCATACCTTCAGGCTTCTAAATATTGCGCTCACGTTTAGACTGCATTTCTTCTATGGGTTTTCTGTTGAGTCACGCTTTGGATTGACTGTGGAGAATATATTACATAAGGGAAGGTACTAACGCGACGGTTTTACGTTTGACACAGCTGTACGCGCAATCTGTGGAAAATAACGGCGAATTCTCACTTTGCCTGAATGTTTAGCATTTCGCGAAATCTCTAAAGAGAGGCAGGCGAAGTGCGAAGTCGAGTTCCATTTCTCACTTTGCCTGCTGCATTGGTCATTTCGCAAAATACCTAGGGATTTTGCAAAATGCCGGATTTCGCAGTTTGCCGGTAACATATACATTGAACGAGTTCTTCAACCTTAAGCTCTCTTAATTTAAAGAAAATAAAATGTGTACTTAGTTAAGTTAGATTAGTAGTGCTTTCACATTGATACCATTCAAAAGAATAAAACCCGATTAAATGGTCCAGTCCAAACTACACAAATCTCCTGATCCAAATCTAAGGGCTTTCGGTCTTCGCTGTTTTAAATCTACTCGGTATAGTCTGTAGAACTAATTTACCTGCCCTTAATCGTCCCCACTATTACGTTGACGTCACACCTGACGGCGGCCGTCATATCGACTTTTAATGTAATTAATTTCAAGTTTTATGTTAACTTATTTTTTAATGTTGTATACTTAAATTAACTGTATTCGAACAAAATAAGTAAGAAAATGCCAAATACGTGCTGCGTCCCTGGTTGCAAAAGCAATTATAGTTCAAGAGACAAGGTTCCGGTTTTTCGTTTTCCTAAAAATGAACTGGTTAAGATGTATTCACCGAGACAATTTCGAAATTACTAGTGACTCCAGGGTTTCTTAAAGCATTTCTCCATTTTTGAAAATCAGCCATCATATATGAAAAGGATGTAAATGATGAGTAACTGGAACATATAAGACCTCAGCAACTACAAATGACCGAAAACCCGTATTCTCTAGATGGTCCAGGGGCCGAGATTTCGATGGAACAGACAGATGGGCAGACGACGGAAAATCGAGCACATAAGCGTTACCTCAACTTCGTTGTGTTACGCTAAAAAAGGCAGATGTGTGTATTAGAATGTTTAAATTTTATTTGTTTTCAGTGAGTATTTGTTGTTTACGTACGTATTTAATAAACGTTTTTGCATAATTACACGTGTCAATAATTAGGAAATAGTTATTTACATATGAGTATGGTGAATCAAGGTTTACGTTAACGAGTGAGATGTTTACTGCCGAAGCGTAGCTGAGGCAGGAATTTCGAAACGAGTAACGTAAACTGATTTGACATACAAATAATGTAAAACATTTTATTTCATACTGCTCTATTTCTATTAAAATACCATTTTGATTAGAATGTTGTAGGTACACATTAAAATAAAAACAAAAGTCGATCACTTGATTTGTTTGATCTGACAGTAGTTTGACAAATATCAAATCAATGCATACGTTTATATGGATGTCAGTTGCGGTTGCTAGGCAAAATTTCCAGTCTGGTAAAAATTTTCAGTCTGGTAAATAGCTATTTGTGTATTAAGAGCGCAAAATGATATATTGTCGATTGAAAGAGACAGTTGACGCGCGACGAAGGAGCGCGGCAATCTCTTGAAATCGACAATCAATTTGCGCTCGAATTACACACAAGATTTTTTCTACAATCGAGCAGTTCACATATTTCCAGAAATTTAAATTTTTCACTCAAATCATCATAATCTTATACCCAAATTAAAGATGTCATTTACTCGTTGTCATTGGATACTCTGAGCAATGCATATTTGATTTATAGTTAATAATTGGGAGAGCGAGCGTTTTTTCTATTTTGTTGCTTATAAGCGACAAAGTGACATTCCTCGAAAAAGATGACGTTTGCGTTGTCAAATACGAGCGCAAATGCCTACTTTGGATATCGATTGTAGGAAATAGTTATTTACCTAACAAGTTCGGTAAGTTAATTTTCCCGCATGAGCACTTTGTTTGCAGCACGACCGTAGGGAGTGCTGCATTTAGTGCGAATGCGGGAAAATTCTTTCCGAAACAGTTAGGTACAATATTTTTTGTAACGAATTGCGTAAAAAAAGGTCAAAATTAATAAAGTTTTGTAAATTAGCTTTTTTTTAATCATGAGTTGGTAACACAATCATATGTTTGGTTGGTAACATAATTTTGTAACTGCCCACTTTTAATAATGCACTGGTCACATTTAAAACTTCCACATCTTTGGTTAATACATATTTTGCCTTTGTAATGAGTGCTACTACTGGTCACGGCATTGCATCGTTTGCACTGAATATCTTGAGTTGCGTAAATACACTCGTTACATTTAAAATCCTTGGAAGCTTTGTGTGTGT